CTAAGTTTCGTACCCTGTTTCGTCGCATGTATCTTTTCTACCAAATTCGCGGAAAATTCGAAGAAACAAAGGATTCAGTTAGGGAAGATTCTCAGGTCAGTTATATCGTATTAACTGAAAAACTGAGAGATTCGAAAGCTGATTGCTTGACTAAATTCAACAAATAATTGATCAAACAATTGTTTATTAAATTTTCACGAGTTTTTTTAGCATACGAGGCTTTCTACTGAATTACGAAGTGTCCCTTATCGCGCCGCAGATGTTATTACGTTCGCAAAGAGAAAGTACTATACAACCCGCAACCAAATGCATTTGAACTTGAATTATTTTATTTACTACAAAAACGCATATAGTATTATATATACATATATATACACACACACACTACATCTTGCTGATTTGTGATGTAATACATCGTAGAATCAGCGTCGTTGGCATAGAAAGTAAAACATGTTTAATCAATGGAGATATTGCTCCTTACAATGGCTGATTTTTTATCTACGTGCCTATTTCGATCAATTTCTAAGGAATTCGGAAAATAATATCAAGATAAATATTCACGAACGAAAACTATATTATTATTTTCATGTAACATGATTTGCTTCCATCATAATATCAGTAATTAAATATCAGTAATTTTCAGTAAAACGTGTTAAATAATTTCACAATTAATTTTTTCTTTTAGAAAAGAAGCATTCAAAATTAAAGAATTTCTAGTACACCTTTCTATTATTAATTACAAAGAAAAATTGATATTGATGTAATGTTGTAACGTTATAACAAACGTCACGTTTTCCGATTGTAATAAAAAAGAACTGAATGAAATATTTTTCGAACATTTAAAGTATAATTTTTTTGATTCATTTAAAAAATATTTTATAAGAAATATATTTTATACGAAAATAACGTAGTTAAAAAAAAAGTAATACTGAGCATTTCAATAATCAATAAATTATTTTTCCAAGGGAATCGAATAATTCCAAACATTAGTTTCTTATTTAAAATGCCATGTTATACGCAAGTCGTATGATCAAATTATAGCGTGGCGTGGCTGTCTCTAGGAGCCTCTCTTTTTTAAACTACCGTGCATCGTATGCGTGTTCCTATTACAATGTGAGCAAACATCTCGGCAGATCGTTTACAAGGCATTTTAGAATACTGTCCGTTTCAAATGTATGAAAATATTATTATCAAGATGTGATTTTTTTTCGTCGATCTTATGTACAACGCAATAGCGAAGTACAAAAAGGCTTTGACAAGATGGTGCCCCTTTCGAACGAGTTTCGAAACATATGCAACCTCATATGCATCTGCTGACAAGTTACGAGTAGTGCTTACATATAAAGTATTATGTCAGAACTTAACAGTCCTTTGACCGCGATTTTCTGAAGAATGTTAAATCTATCAAGGTCAAATGTAAACTTAAACTTGAAAGAATTTATGATACAATAAGGATGCGAGGATCTGCCTCGTATTCCGTTACGTATATGCATATGAATCGATTTATTTTGCTTTTGCCACAAAATTGCAATTAGTTAACGCATGATTCAAAAGCTCGAGTACAATTAACGTAAAATGTGATTCTATTTATAAACTGTCGTATAAAATTCAGAAGGTATACTTATTACGTCCACTCTCTGGCTTGCGAAAGTAATAAATCGTGAATCGTGTTTTATGTTACTATTCGCATAACGATGAATATTCTTTTTACATCATACTGATACAGATACCTCATGCACGTAATTGGAATTACAAAATCAATATCGCGATACATTTTCTTTCGAAAAAAGAACTGTACATCTTTTTTCACGAGTGGTAAAAATATATTATGTAAATCAATTATCAGCGGGAAGAGTTGTGCGTGCCATGAGGTGCTGCCATGAGATGCGCGTGCGAACGAACGTCGCCATTGTTTTCCGGTGCGCGCGAGTGTATTCTTATTGTCAATCAGATTTTTTCTGCATCTTTTGAAATGAAACACGTTCTAAAAGTTATTCCCGAGTGTTGCAACGCATACGAACGATGCTAAATCGATTGTAAGGTTTCTTACATATCTAATCTACGATAATGTCTTATGGCGTGTTACTGATCATTGCGCAGCCATCTTGGACGAGTCCACTCTGTCACCAACTGACACGAGTACGTTTTGGAGTAATAAAGAAATCAAAATAATCATTTTTCACGTTTGTACCTTGCATTACAAATTTCATAATATTAATTCAGCAACACTCGACACCGTCATCTAGATTGATACATTCGTGTAAAATACATATGCGTGGGCGTTTGCATCAGCTTAACCGGCGTTGCGATGCAGTCCATTCAACAGTGCCGTAGCTACTAAAACATCATGATTTTATTAGTACTAAATGAAACTTTATTAACATTATTTTTAAATTTTTTTTGCTACAGTCTCTATACAATATATTATTTAAATGTCGAAATGAATAATAATAGATGTATTTTTTCTTAATAATTTTAATTAAAATCTTCAATATTACAAATCTTCAATATTACGATGCAAGAACATGAAGATTTTAAAAACTTAAAAGCGATAAATTTTAGAGATAGATTTTCGTTTCAATTTGTTTAAACGTAAAATTTTCATCGTATCTTTGTTCTTTATCTAATCTATTTTTCTATATCTAATCTTTTTTCTTCTATTCTTCTATTTTAAAAATGTATTTCAAATTATTCCATTAATTTGATTCGCATATCGATTAATCTACTATTTCCTATGAGATAGAACTCCCCCCTCCCCCTCCCCCATTGATTTAATTTTGAAATTTCATCAAATATTTCCCTGTATCCATCTCTTAGTTAACTCGTAGCTGTCATTGATCCGCTCCTATAAGCCACGACAACTTCTCGTAAACGCTTCCACTACGATCAGTGCAACGCACAGCACAGCCAATCAGCCGGCCAGTCAGAATGTCGGGCAGTGAATCTAAGATAAGGACATGCGACGACTCCGAGGCTTCGCGTGAAAGCGGTTTGTCGTCGTTAAGATTTGCTATGCAGTAATATTGCATATTCAGCTTCATTTCAAAGACTTAACAAATTAACAAAAATTAATTAATAAATTATTTTCTCTATTTACCATCGTAATATTTTCCAGGTGATATGTGCCGTAGTACATATGGGATACATCGTAATAATATTTTTGCTATGTAATTTTAAATTTCAGATAAAACGGGCTGTATCGAAATTCATTTTAACTCGTGATAAAATGAATTCCGATAACATTAGAACTTGAGACTACTCGGATTCGCTTGTCGCGTGCCGCAGTCAGTACTTATCGCTTGCCGGCTTTTCTGATGCCGCTAAACAAGACGCGTCGTGCACTCTACTACCATCACCCCTGTATCCCGGCTACCCCCTCACACTTCTCTCCCCTGTTTCTCCTGTCTCCTTTCTATCTCCCCTCTCTCTTCACCTTTCTCTTTCTCCGATCAATAAAATAGCCCATCTCCCGCGAAAGCTTATCGTTCGTTTGAATTTTAGCGACTATTACCGCCAACACTTTTTTATACATCGCTAACTTTTCATATTCACACTTTCACTATGTACTGTGGATTTGCAAATATAATTAAGAATGGATTGTCGTTTATACGGACAGTTCCCTTAATCAGTTTTTTTTTTTAATTTTAAACCCATTGTTTTATTAATCTTCCTTCAAATTATTAGATTTTAAGTAATTAATATAGAAATTACATATATTTTTTAATTAGAAATTCTATTTATTTTTATCTTTCATAATTTGTATATAAAGTTATATTTGTTGAAAAATATTATGTACATTTATTTGTTTGTATAAATGGAGATATATTGTATTTATGGTACAGTTTTGAATAAAATGTGATACTCTTTTTTTGAAATATTTTTAGCCTTATCTACTTTTGTAGTTAACTGTGATTTATATAAAAATTATTTTTTTTCAGGTCAAGGAACTTGTTCTTGACAATTGTCGGAGTACACATATAGTAGGTCTGACAGATGAGTTTGTTGCATTAGAATCGTTAAGTCTCATTAATGTGGGTCTTACCAGTCTAAAAGGCTTCCCAAAACTATCGAGTCTTAAAAAGGTAAGAAAATGTATTTATTATTACTATTATATTACATGTAATTTATAAATAAAGTAATTATTTCTTATGTACATTTGAAGATAACATATAGTATGATATTTTACATTTTAATTGCATTTAATAAAATGCAATATTGAATTCAAAAGATAAAATGGAATACGTAAATACCCAACTATTTTTATTTTTTACAGTTGGAACTTAGTGATAACAGAATTTCTGGAGGTTTAAATCTTCTTCAATCAAGTCCCAAACTAACTCATCTTAATCTTAGTGGAAACAAGATCAAAGATCTTGATACACTTCAACCTTTAGTATGTTTTTATTATTTCAATATTATATGTATATATATTATATGTATATACATTTTAAATATATTATAAATATATCTTTTTTTACAGAAAGAGTTTAAAAATTTAAAAAATCTGGATCTTTTTAACAATGAAGTAACAAATTTGGACAATTATAGAGAAAAAGTTTTTAGCCTTATTCCCAGTCTTCGATGTCTTGATGGGTATGTAATGTGAAACAGTTATTTCATTTTGTTCTCATTTTTTAATACGCAAGATAAATTTTAAAATACTGCTTTTGTAGATTTGATACAGATGATTGTGAAGTAGATAGTGAAGGGGAAGATGATGAAGTAAATGGAAATGAAGATGGAGATGGAGATGCTAATGAAGAAGATAGTGAGGAAGGTTAGTTAAAGATCGAAAATGAAGTTGAAAGATTTATTGAAATGATAAATTAAAATATATTTTAATTACAAACATATAATTATAGTTTCAGATGAAGAAGATTTTGAAGATTTTGATGACCGTGGTGTAGGATTAGCAGCTGTATACAAGGACGGTCTTGAAGTAAGTCATGCAAAATTCAAATTATTATTGTATTATTGTATATAAAATCTTCGTTATGAATTACATTTTAATTTAAATCCGGGTTTTGTATTTTAAAATAAAATTTTAAAATACTACACACTATGAATGTTGTATATAAATAAATAAAAAAAAAAATACTATTTTTATGAAAAAATGTTACTTCCCTAAAGATTAACGATATTTGTAATGAATTATTAATGTTGTGATTTTTTTGCAACTTCTAATTTATAAACATAATTTAATTTGACTAATATAATACAGGACGAAAGTGACGAAGATGATTTCCTCTGTGAAGATGAAGAAGAAGAGGATGATGATGATAATGAAGACGACGAACAGGATGAGGAAGAAGGTGAGTAAGTTTTTATACATTTTCAGATTTAAGATAGATTTATTTATTTTATTACCATTACCAAAATATTGTGCCTTAAAAGATGCTTTAAAAGAATTATATCATTTTGTTTTAAGTAGAGTTTCTTATTTCACTTTCTTAGAAACAATTTTCATAAAGTATATGCCAATTTTATTATATTTTTATTATATATAGAATCGTCTCCTGCTCGAGGAAAGAAGAGAAAACATGAAGATGGAGATTCAGGGAACTAGAACCATAAAAAACAGGTTTCTGATACTGTTGAATGAGTGTAAAATTCATATAAATAATAATAACAATTGAGACACCGAGTGAACATCTGGGAATCAAATTAATTGACCGACCAATGACAGACTACTACAGTTAGTGGTGTGAATTTATCAGTAAATCATTGACTGACAAATTGTCTGTGGAACAACAAACCATTGCGAAGAAGAGGAATGTGAATGAAAATGAAAAAAAGGATAATGATGGCATAAAATAGGACTGCATTCCAGCTGGGCACAGCGCGTTTTAGTTATACTAACGATATTTTATATAGAGTATATAGTTAGAGTATTAGTGGTGTTGCATAGTGAGTGAAAGATCAGATATTGAAGGACTTGGAAAAGGCAACAGTGGAGTTTTACACTTGAAGGAGCATATTTGTCTGTTAGCTCCAGTCGGCCAAAGGCTGGTCACGCTGGAATGCAGTCATCGTTAATCAGTACTAAGATTACATAAGTTACATTTTAAATACATTATTATTGTACCATGGATAAGTATAGAGTAAATGAGGAACAATTTTTTGTACAGGTTTACACCATACATTGAGGTGCATTACGCCTCTGTGATTTTTGGGACAGAAAATAAAGAGATAAATATATGTTGCTCATACATTGAGCTTATATCTATGAAAGATGTATTAAGATAAGAATTTACATCATAAGATTGAAAAAATGAAAAAAAAAAGTATGTACATTTCATTTATTAAAGTAATAATGTTTAAAATGTATAATTGATACAAACAAAAGAAAAAAATCAGTAATATTTTAGTATTTTCAGTTTCATTATTTTGATATAAGTTAAACAGTTTTGATATTTTAAAGACTTTTGGAAGGAACTGCGAAGTAGTTTGCAAAAGCATAATTAATGAATATTGTAATATTCTGACTAGTAATTTTTAGTAAATTTTAAGTTTCAGGTGTTTATGTATAATGGCAATAATATGCCGCACTAACATGTCTGTTAAGATTACTGCTGTTTACTTTTGGGCATTCCATGTGCTACGTGTTATGCTCTAATATGACAAATTTATTTGTTTAATAAAATTGTCATATTTTCCTATTTATAATTGCAAATATGCAACTACAATAATTAGACGTTTTTTTATATTAAAAAATCGTATGATTTGTTTACGATTTACAAATTACTTAATGAATTTGTATTGTTTATATGTAACAATAAGTTCAAATATTGGAACATGATATTAAACAAAAACAAAAAATCAAAATTATCATAAATTACCATAATTACCTTTAATTTCTGTCTCTGAAGTTACCATAGCGCTGACACATCTCGTGATCATTAAAGTGCGAAGTTAATGAGTAATGATCATTAATATTATTATTAATATTAAATTACAATTATGATTTAAAAAAGGTAACAAATATTTACACTTGCGCTTTCGCACTTTTGAATTGTATTTAAAAAAAAAAAGAAACGCAAAATTTAGATTAGAGTGGAAAGATAAAATCTCGAGAAATAGGCGCAAAAATAAAAGATGGATCAGACGATGTAGTTAATGGTGAGACTGTGGCAAGTGGATTACTGAACGGACTACCAATTAACTACGTGATCGTGAGAATGGATGGGAGTGAAATAGCGAGTGAGAGTGCAAGAGAGGATCGGTTTTATAAGAAAAAAATTATGGTAGAGTCGAGGATCTGGCGCCTCTTTGTCGCCAGTTTGGTTATGGCCTTATCCAATTTTTCCAAGACTAAAGCAAATTTATATTAGGTACAATGAGTATATGACATGTACAGGTCCAAATCTGTAAATTTCCAATCTGCAATTTGTAATTGCGGCTCGCGCGAATGTCGTATTAAAAGTTAAATTATAAATAATTAAAAAAATTAAATTATAAATAATTAAACATTCCGCGCGCCCCGCGACACACTTTTGTCAATTGCACTTTTGGATAGACCATTTACATAAGGGAATCTATCACTTTCTATTATCAGATCTATAACATCTCTGTATTGTCTGTCTGTTCCGTTGTTAAAGTGGATTTTTATCATAACGTTTGTTTATTTCGAGCAATCCTCATCACAAAATAAGAAAAAATAATTTATTAATAAAATCATTTACAAATCAAGGATGATGTGTGATAAATATTAATATATTTTCCACTTTCTAATCCATATCTATATATAAATAAGATATTAAAAATTTTATTTTTACTTTAATTTTCTCTTAAATCTATGTAATATGTATATACTATTTATATATACATATAACGAAGATGTAAGCAATAGAGATATGTTGATTTTGAATATAAAAGTTATAATTGGAAGTTTTCGAATATTAGAGTTGCTATAACTTTTATATTCTAAATGAAAACAACTTTTATTGGTTACATTTTCCATTTTTTCTTTCGTGTTTTAGATAATTAATAGCTGAAATATTTAAAATATCACTTACAATTAATTTTATATTTTAAGTTTAATTTTATTTTTAATCTGAAAACTATTTTTATGTATATTAATTTATAAAAAATGTATTATAAATATGTTTATACTCATGTAGCATTTAATATACCTACATACAAGTATATTTAATTTAATACTATTATAACCTTATATACATTATTAAATACAATTACACATATTGTTACAACATATAATTTATAATTTTTCAAGCATTGACAGATTAAGAAAATAAATTAACATTTAAAAAGATTCATATCGAAGTTACCTCATTTCTAATCGTACGATGAATGACCGTTTAAAGTAACAGTAATTCATTCTAAATAATTATTCGTGATTATTATAATTATTTTCGTATTTAAAATTAATTAGAATAACTTGACGAGGTACATGAAAAGACCTAATATACAATGTATCTTTTTCCACGATTGACCTAAGATCTCCTTGCCACTTTCGTGTCACATTCTGTCGTACCGATTTAGACAGATTTTGTATCGCAGCACTACTAGTGATAAGAATTAAAATCAAAAAATATGGACAGTGTTGCCACATCTACTTTGAGAGTTATTTGTTGAATTGAACATGATGATATTTCATCATTGAAGGAATATAACGAAATTTTGTATATTTGATTTAGACTAGAGTTTTTTATTTTTTATTCCAAGTTAACATTTCATGCGGAATGCGTGCTTATTGGGTTTAAATTAATTAAAGATTACAACGAAATATGCAATACACTTCTTATGATTCTTGAAAATAATCGATATTTCTCAAATTTACATGGCAAGTATGGCAGAAAGAAGCACACCGCATCTGTAAAGAAAAAAGTACTATCCAGAAAAATCATCCAGAAGTTCTCAGGCAAAAACTTAAATCAATAACTGTTAGATTTGTATTTGTGTTGTGTATTTTTGATTTCAATTCATCGAGATCTGCCAGATTACTAAAAAAGTGTATAATTTTTAATCCTTTAAAGTAAAATTTAACCAAATAATTATTATATATAATTTTCAACAATCAAAGAAATAATAACATATAAATATTTAAACAGAATAACTAAAGTTATAAAAAGTTAAAATCAAAAATTAGTTTCAATTCTAATCAGAGAAAATGTGATTTTGTAACATTGATTAACTTAATCAATATTCTTGCACACTATTATTAAGTTCATCCTTGAAAATTAGAGTCTCCCCTTTACAACAAGTCCATAAAATCTGTTGTATAATTATTTTTCCCTATTTTATTGAATTTGTCATTTTATTAGGGTTAAATGATGAAATATTGGAATTTCTTGAATTTTTGTTGTTCAACCTCAATGTTTCAAGTCTAATAAAATAGCAAAAAATAATCATACAATTAGTTGTAAGATCTCATTCTAAAGAAAATATTTTAATGCTTAACATCATGATTAATCGGTTAAAATTTTTCAGTGATGGAAAAACTTCTCTTTGGCGAGACGAAATTTTCGAAAAGAAAAGTATTCTTACTTTTACATTTGCTACATAATAAACTAAATAATTTTGAATGAACCAAATTCAAGATTATTAAAGTGAAGACTTTGCTCTTTAAAATAAAATCAAATTAATTGTTTTATAATTTCTTTTTTAATCAATTTCAAGGAATTATAACGGTAAGCATATCTTTTTTTTAATCTAGTGTATGAATATTTTTGTTCTTTTTAAAGAATTTCTCATAAATTTTGTGTATCTGATTTAGATTAGAATTTCTATTTTTTATTTTTTTATTTTAAGGTAATATTTCCTGTGAAATGCGCGCGTATTGGGTTTAAATTAAAGATTACAGCGCCAACGGCGGAATACGCAATTCACTTCCAACGATTCTCGAACTCGAAATCGATATTTTATGATCGATTTTTAACCGGGAAGTGGCGAAGCATACCTCATCTGTAAATAAGAAAGTATTATCCAGAAATTCTCAGGCAAA